GAAGCTCGAGCAAGACGACATTACCATCATCATGAGCCTGAAGATTCTGTAGTGCGAACATTAACTTATCAAAGGGCTTTGAATAAGGATCCGCGTGAAGAAGAAGCGCCGAGAGAGCTAAACATATCTGCGTCAATAGCTGCAATTCCCAAAAAATTCCACAAAACACACATAAACAAACAATCGTTTCATTCCCATCCCCGGAGAACAAACACAGGAAAAAAGGGTACAATACCTGAGGAACACCGGAGCTGTATCTCTTAGCAGCAAGAAGGAGGGCATTGAGAAGAGCATCTTTAGCTGTTGATTGAAGATTCGACGCTTCGTTCTGAATCTGAAAACCCAACACAAAAAGAGGGTTAAAAAAAGGGTTTTTAGAGGATTCGAAATTGAGTAATCTGAGACGAAAGTTAAAACCTTTCGACGGAGAATTTGGGCGGCGAAGAATTGAAGGTCGAAAAGAGAAACAATCGGTGAAGTGAGGAGAGAAGTGGAGACATCCCAAGCTGCAGGAGTGAGCTGGAATTGAACAAGCCATTGATTAGCGGCGACTCTGTTGGAAGATTCAGGATCGTGATTCAAGACATGGATTGCTTCAGCTACTTTCCTCTGTAACTCCATTCAACTCCAATTTTGTTGCATTCCACACACACTCTCTCGTCTCTTCCTTCTCTCTTCTTCTTCTTCCACTCTTTAGTTTTATGGTTTGAGAAAGTAAAATAAAAACAATTTAATTCTTTTTAAGAATCCAATCAGTTTCTGCTCTTTTTCTCCCTGTTTTGGATTCGATTCGATATTTTTTCAGTTTAATTTAAATAAATTAAAAAGTAAGCAAACAAAAAATGTGAGTGAAGTTATTAGATAAAGGATTTGTATAAAGTTTCTTATATTTTGAAGTTACTTTTATACAGAAATTCTAAGGGAAAAAAAACAAACAATGGGAAATTATTGGTTTCCTATTTTAATATTATACACTTTTAATTCTTTGATATTGGTTTATATATACAGTCAGATTGATAAGTTCTAAAATATAAATTAAAATCATTTCGCACTTTCGAAACATGGTTTAGTTGATATTATGTTTAGGTTAAAATCATGTTTTGTAAATTGTAATAAACTAGTAGTATTTTTTTTCAAAAAAAAAAAAAAACTAGTAGTATGTCAATCAATATTATTATTCACAAAATGCAACACTACTTAATGCTTTCAAAATTAGTTGAATGTTGACTGTTAAAGACATATATGACTGTAAACCCGACACAACCCAACCAAATACTACAATAGACAATAGTATTTAGTACTACAAATATTAGTGTCAAACAAAATATTGATTAATCTAATCTAAAAGTGACATCTTGTATGTCTCAAATATATCTTAATAAAAAATGGCTTTAATGTGAAAACATATATTAATAATTTATTAGTTTCTCAAGAACCCAAATTTTAAAAATATATTATATTTGTATATGTAGACAAAAAAAAAAAGATATATATATATATATGGATAAAATGTTAACAGGTACTTGCCAAAATGTACATAACTTAGTAACACTTGGCTTTAAAGGCCCATTAGAGACCTTTGTATATTCTATGGCCCATTTCAGTACCCAAACTAAGACAGCCTCTTGATATAGTTACAAGTTACAACTACAAGCTGCTCAACTGCTAGAAGAGTGCAAAGTTTACCAAAATTTCGTGTATGGTCGAAACTCGAAAGGTTGTGTTGTCCATGTCATTAGTTATTTTTTGTTAGTTAATTATTTCAATGTGTATTGTTGTTAATATACTTGTTTCATCAACAGGTTTATAAACTGAATTAATCATAATTAATATCTTGCACATTTCAATAGTAATAATATATGATTTATATCAGATTTCAAATAAGATTAATTCATGGGTTATTCAATTCGAAAAAAGGCTTCACAAGCTTTAAGAGATGATTGTCAACATAGCTTTTCACTTTTCTTGGTAAAGTTGGCAAGTCAAATTCACAAATTTTTCTGTATTTATTATCTATATATAGTTGTGCAATAAGTTTATAGCCTACGAGAGTTGGCATTAAATTGTTCGTATGCACAACTAAACCGGCCTTGGTGGTGGGGGCTCCCATCCGTAGAACACGTCGTGAAGAAAGTATCTAAAACCAATGGTAGAGAACTAACTAAACTAATAATTCATGTCGAAATAAGAATAGTCCACATTCGATTTGACCAATGGAGATCCATGGTTTGATTCATGTCTATATCATCACTTCATTGTCAAGTGTAATACGAGATTATATAGAACTTTCATTTATTCATTTTTCTAGTTCAATCGTGCAGCCAGGTTTTATTTATGATTTTTAATATGTATCAAACTACATTTTTATTGGATAACTTGTTTTTAGTTTCTACTCTCGAAAGATTCAGATAGTTGATTAAAAAAACAATATAGACGACTTTTGGAATATGCAGCTGAGAAATAATATAGTTCATCCAAGAAGCATCATTAATCATATGCAAGATGTAATACTAAAATCATTTCGAAAATAAAGTAAACTCTTTTCACCATCGCCAAGTACCGTCCGTACATTCAGGTCATGAGTTCTTTTATATAAAAAAAAAAAAAAAAAAGAAATAAAGAAACCAAAAATATTGAAAGTATATGTGACATTGTAAACAAACAAACAAAACCACTTTGAATGTATCAGTTTTGTAATACATTCAGAGGACTAGTATGTGGAGAGCTCATATTAGGAGGAGTTTGATGAGGTTTTACTGATGTCATGTATGGTATTGCTAATAATACTTAGGGCATAGTATTGGTTTTTCTATTATTTTGAAATGTCAAAAGAAGCACATGAGATTCTCCCAAGCATGTAGTTTTATAGTTCGCATAGGAATCCAACGAGGTCCAGAGGTGAAGGAGAGATGCCAAAGTCTTCGATCCCAAGATTCCACACATTTTGTACTACGAAAAGTCCGCAAAGTTCATGGACCTACGGAATATTCCTCACGTATTTATATTGGTAGTCCAAATAAACGGCTAACATGTTTTATGAATATTGTTATGATTAAGGTTTAATAGTTCTACATACGTATGTATGTCATCATCATAAAAATCACAATATCATCTTGAATTTCTCAAAAATTCACCCATTTAATTATGAGATGTAAAAAAAGACAATCTATAACGAAATCATATCTATAATTTCATTTTTCAAGAAACATTTAACATAAAACGACTCTTCGTTGATCTCATAAATTTTGTTTTTTTCTCTTCTAAAATGTCATTATTCGCAATAGATTAAATCTTAACCTTTAAGTTAGATAGTCGTCAAACTTGACAAAAAAGATAAATTTGAAGAGATGATTTTTAGTTTTCAAATCTTATGAATCTCTTTATATTTCTATTTTTTGAAGATAAGAGAAATAAAGAGATTCATAAATAAGATTTACAAAACAAGAAATCATTTCTTCAAATTTCTCTTTTGTAAATTTTGATGGCTATCCAACTTAAAGGTTATGTCTTTGTCTATTACACACACATGTATTAACAGTTTTGAAGAAAATTAAATTTATAGATTCAATGAAAAATGGTTCTACTATGATCAGTGTGCTACAACAAAAGGTTTGTAAAACCATAAATCCCTTTTTGAGTTTGATGAAACACTTATGTCTTTATCTATTTCACCTACTAACATTTTCAAAGAAAGAAAAAATGTAGCTTCACTGATCTCGTATATTTTTAAAATGTCACTATATGACATGTAAACTTCAAGCTTGGGAATCATTAAAATCGAAATAAACGAACAAATTCGAAGAAGGGATTTATATGGTTTTGTTAGTCTGATCTGAATCTCCATACTGGTCTCTCTATTTTCTTCTTTGAAACAATCATTCAATACAAGAGATATAGAAAAACATAGAGTTTAAGAAATAACAAGTTGAGAAGTTTTGTTGTAAAAAAAAACAAAAAGAAGAGTAAAGACTTTGCCAAAGTTAATGCTTCGAAGACTTTACCTTTGCCATGGTTAAGGAGCCCAAAAGTAGCAACTGTTCCCCGAGTCTCAAGTATTGACTTCGAAACTCGTATAAATAACAAAAAGTATAGCAAGTGTTATGAGATTTAAAGAAGTAAATAGGTTGCCAAAAAAATAGTTGAAAAGTTAGTTTACTGCTATTTTGAGTTTTTGTTAGTCAAATAAACACAATCAATGAAAAAAATAAAAGAACTAAAACATTATAATTAATTTGTTGCATCTTTATGCAAATGCAATATTCCAGGCATTGTGGATGCAACATTAAAAGTTACTATAGACTATTTGTTATCTTCGAAACAAGTGTTTTATTGTATTTAACTGAAAATTCTGATTTTTAAAAATAATTAATTTCCCTTATATAATTTTGCTTTCATATGCGTGAAATATAAACAAAACTGATATTGAAAGGACGAGTCACTATTGTAAATTTTGTTCGATAGTTCTTTAGATATGAGATTTGTATTCAAACACATACAAAAAGATTTGTCCACACCAAATTGATCTCTTTTGTCATCTCTTACCATTCCTAACTCATCTTATTACACAATTTACCAAAAAAAACTCATCTTATTACACAAATCAAATAACTGCGGAGTGTTTAATTTGATGTAAGAACCTACTATATTAATCCAAATCGATTTCATATTGACGGAGTGAAATTGTCGATTTTAAAATTTAAATTACATTTTAACTTTGAGATCATATGAAATTAAAAACCAAAACTGAAATAAACACCATGCCAAAACCCTTTACCTAATAATTATTGATTTTGGATATTAATTACTCACAGTTGTATTAAAAAGAAGAACGTATCATCCAAAAAAAAATGATTACATCAGACTTCACAAGAAAGAACACATCCATGATAAAGTCAGAGGCTTAACACTCTTCTCCTCTATATATACTCATAACCTCAAACCTGAGATTCCTCATTCCTTAAACCATAAACCCTAACTTTTCAAAAGCTCACAAAAAAAAAATGGAGGTGGAAGGTAAAGGAGGAGAAGCTGGAACCAGCACCAAGGCAACTCGGAGATTCGCACTTCCGGTGGATGCGGAGAACAAATCAACAACTTTCAGACTATTCTCAGTCGCTAAACCTCACATGAGAGCTTTCCATCTCTCATGGTTTCAGTTCTTCTGCTGCTTCGTCTCCACCTTCGCAGCTCCACCGCTCCTCCCTATCATCCGTGAAAACCTTAACCTCACCGCAACTGACATCGGTAACGCCGGGATAGCCTCTGTCTCCGGCTCTGTTTTCGCACGTATCCTCATGGGCACGGCTTGTGACCTCTTCGGTCCACGTCTCGCCTCCGCCGCTTTGACACTCTCCACCGCTCCCGCCGTCTATTTCACCGCCGGGATAAAGTCTCCGATCGGGTTTATCATGGTGAGGTTCTTTGCTGGATTCTCTTTGGCCACTTTCGTCTCCACGCAGTTCTGGATGAGCTCTATGTTCTCTGGACCCGTCGTGGGATCGGCTAACGGAATCGCCGCCGGGTGGGGAAACCTCGGAGGAGGAGCGACGCAGCTGATCATGCCCATCGTCTTCTCGTTGATTCGGGGAATGGGAGCCACCAAGTTCACGGCGTGGAGGATCGCTTTCTTCATCCCCGGTCTGTTTCAGACTCTCTCTGCTTTCGCCGTTCTCTTGTTCGGTCAGGTACACAACATGTACACTCTCACCGGTTCGGTTTTTTTTTTGTTTATTCAGTTTATCCGGTCTATCGTTTGTTATACGTATAAATGACGAAACCGATTCGAAAATACAAAAAATGGTTTAAAGATACCGGTTTGAGTTTCTCCAGTTCATATAGTACAATCTTTATTACGTAGGATATGGACCATTACTGCTTAATCATCTTTAATTGTGTTATATTAATTTGTCTTGAAAAGGATCTTCCTGATGGAGATTATTGGGCGATGCACAAATCTGGAGAGAAGGAGAAAGATGATGTGGGGAAAGTGATCACACATGGGGTGAGCAACTATAGGGGATGGATAACAGCATTAGCATATGGCTACTGTTTTGGAGTAGAGCTTACCATTGACAACATCATCGCAGAATATTTCTTCGATAGGTTCCACTTAAAACTCCAGACAGCTGGGATTATAGCAGCCAGTTTTGGACTAGCCAATTTTTTCGCTAGACCTGGAGGAGGAATTTTCTCTGATATAATGGCCAGACGGTTTGGGATGAGAGGAAGGTTATGGGCTTGGTGGATCGTTCAAACACTAGGAGGTGTGTTGTGCGCATGTCTTGGCCAAATTTCTTCATTGACATTGTCTATAGTTGTTATGCTCATCTTCTCTGTGTTCGTCCAAGCCGCTTGTGGACTTACCTTTGGCGTAGTTCCGTTTATTTCTAGAAGGTAAAACCGCTCTCATACATTACATTTTGAGCATTGTATACATGCATTTTGGTATTGAATTGCGCTTGTTTTGGTTATGTAGATCTCTTGGGGTGATATCGGGAATGACTGGTGCGGGAGGCAATGTAGGCGCGGTCTTAACTCAGTTGATATTCTTCAAAGGATCAACATACTCGAGGGAGACGGGTATAACTCTTATGGGGGTCATGTCTATCGCTTGTTCGTTACCAATATGCTTGATTTACTTTCCGCAATGGGGAGGTATGTTCTGTGGACCATCTTCCAAGAAAGTAACTGAAGAAGACTACTACCTCTCTGAGTGGAGCCCTGAAGAGAAAGCTAGAAACTTACATCTCGCGAGCCAGAAATTTGCGGAAACCAGCGTTAGCGAAAGAGGTCGAGCTACTACTCATCCCCAAACTTGATAAATTCAACATGGTCCTTTTTGTTTGTTGTTTATATGTATTGAGTTGTTGAGTATGCTTCTGTCTTCTTATCTTTGGGTTTGTTTTGGCTTCAGAGTTTACAAGAACTCTTTTTGTTTTGTTTTATCTATAATTGTGTGATAAGTTGTGTATGTTATGTATACATGTTACTGCTTTCTTTGTATGGATAACTTTTGTACATGTTTATTCATCATAAAATGAACCAACGTTTTTTCATTAAACTTGTAAACTTTGGATGAACGTTTCAATATCACATCATAAACTGTTGTTTTGTTTTGTCCAAATAAGTTAGAAAATACATGGTTACTACTTACAAAAATAATTAGCTGAACAAAACAAAAACAGAAATAAATTCTTCCCGCAATATTTTTTTGGTAAAAGATTTTTTTCTTTCCGCTTTTTAAACGATACCTTAAAATAAATAAATAATAAAAATATTGTCTTTTATGTCAAAGTTCATTGAAAGATGAAACTACCTTGGTCCTTGTATATTACAAAATACATCATCATGAACAACAATATTTTACCATCAAACCTCAGTCTTCTTCAATTGATCAATATCTTTGATATCAGCTCGTGAAGGATTGTATTGAGATCGACAGAGAAGAAAATTTTGCAGTCTCCCCGCTCTGCTATTGTGATGAAAAGGCCAAGATTATATGGGCCTATTTCCATTTAATTGTGTGACTAGTTGGCCTACTACTTGTTCTATTACGAGTGCCAACTTGCTATCATTAGCCAATTAGGTTTCCAATCTACCACGTTGATTGCTTTGCACGTAGCAAGAAGCCATATGGAGTCCACGAACCAAAGATCTATATGAATAAAGGTACACACAAAGATATCAACTTGTATATGATAATCTTCTAACGATTAATTATGAATTTTTAATTTGCATTTGATTTTATTGTATTGTTTTTAGCCTAGTCGTGCGATGAAATATCACAAAGTCACTCTTTGATTCTGTATGTCGACAGTTGTACAATAATAGCCACACACATACACACTCACATTCAAAATTCGACTGTGAAAGAGTCAAAGGATTAACAACTGGTGTTAAGCTGTCTGATTAAACAAAAAGTCTCAAGTGTGAAGTTGTCTTTTACCACTCTTCCAAAAGCTCCTACGTACCCAGTCTAGTTTTTTTATATTTTAGATGTACAAAAATCTAATTGACTAGCTAAGCTTTGGCGTGATTGATCAATGTATGAAAAGAAGATAAACTATAGACAAATCTAAATTAATAGACCCTTTAGAAAACTTATTAATAGACCCTTAAAACACTTTGTCGTGTCTATATTATAATCAGTAAATAAGAAAAAATAAAAAAAACTATTAACTTCTATATAATTCATGAATCATTGATTTCTAAAGACCGCAAGATCCTCGATCTTAGCTTCTCCTTACCTCTAAGCTCTCTGTATTTGTCGTCGGAGAATGGAGAAAGATAATGACTTCACGGATCCGTTTCTGTCGTCAACTGAGGAACTCGACCCGACGACCCGGAAAGCATTGATGGAATATCTTGGAGTCGGAAGCAGAGCATCCTCTCTTGTCTCCTTCTCCTCTACAGCCGTCGATATCCCTCCCATCTCCAACGTCGGAGACTTTGTCAGAGAGTTTAGAATCGAGTCTAAAAAGCTATGGAAACTAGCAGGCCCCGCCATTTTTACGTCGATGAGCCAATACTCTCTCGGAGCAGTCACTCAAGTTTTCGCCGGACATATTAGCACCATTGCTCTCGCTGCTGTCTCCATCGAGAACTCCGTCATCGCCGGCTTCTCCTTCGGTATCATGGTACGTCTTACTTTCATATATCTCCCCTAATCACATGTTTCCCATTCTACTTTGTATTAACAAATCTTTTGCATCTTTACTATATACAAAAAACTTTTAAGGAAAAAAACCGTGTCAAGCTAGCTATATGAAAACAGGATTATAATTGTGTTGTATATTAGCCGTAATATAAAACTATATTAGTAATTTGTATGCAAATTTTTAAAAATTCTCACGATTATTATGTTTATGCATGGTACGATTATATATAGCTTGGAATGGGAAGTGCGTTGGAAACGCTATGCGGACAAGCGTTTGGAGCAGGGAAAGTATCAATGCTCGGTGTTTACTTACAACGGTCATGGGTCATTCTAAGCGTAACGGCTCTTTTCCTTTCTCTACTCTATATCTTTGCGGCTCCAATCTTAACCTTCATAGGCCAAACCGCTGCAATCTCGGCCGCGGCTGGGATTTTCTCCATCTACATGATCCCGCAAATATTCGCCTACGCCATCAACTTCCCAACCGCAAAGTTTTTGCAATCGCAAAGCAAGATCATGGTCATGGCAGGGATCTCCGGTGTGGTTCTTGTGATCCATAGCTTCTTCACGTGGCTAGTCATGTCTAGGCTCCACTGGGGACTTCCCGGTTTAGCTTTAGTGCTTAACACGTCGTGGTGGTTCATCGTTGTGGCACAACTTGTGTATATCTTTAGTGGTACGTGTGGAGAGGCTTGGTCTGGATTTACGTGGGAGGCTTTTCATAATTTGTGGGGGTTTGTCAAATTGTCTTTGGCTTCTGCTGTCATGCTCTGGTGAGTTGCGAATTAAACCCTTATTTTCCGGTTATTTTGCTCCGACCTAATTCATATTTTATATATAGATTATTTACTTTTGTAGTTTGGAGATTTGGTATTTTATGGCACTTGTATTATTTGCTGGATATTTGAAGAATGCTGAAGTCTCCGTTGCTGCACTCTCCATATGGTAAATTTTTTTTATTTCTTAAGATCTAAACTAATTAATATCTTCACACCATGTAATGATGTAAGGTTTGTACATGATTTTTTACTTGATCAATTTGTTTAAATTATTATCATAGAGATTCTCCGAATAAGAGTAGACCCAACGTGCGTAGTAGTCTATATATTTGTTTTGTCTCTGTGGCTAAAAAAGCATATAATAGTCGATTTAAATATTTCACATATTTTTTTAATCTAATGTTGCTGACATGCGTAAACTTACGTAGACTAAATCAATCACTAAATTACAATATAGCTAGGAATTACAATAATGAAGTAAAGTTGAAAATTTTAGTACTATTCATTGCAAAAATGTTGTCTAATATATTATTTGTTTTCTTCTTGATGGTGTGTTAAAAAATGAAGCATGAACATTTTGGGATGGGCAGCTATGGTTTCAGTTGGGACAAACGCAGCAGTAAGGTAAATTCTCACGTGCGACCCACACAACACGTCTGAAAACAAAACTCTTTCCAAGTTATCTACACATATATCTTACACTTTGCTGATAATGCGTTTTCTTTGGCAGTGTGAGAGTGTCAAATGAGCTAGGAGCAAGCCACCCAAGAACGGCCAAGTTTTCTCTAGTTGTGGCCGTGATATCATCGACAGCGATTGGGATGGTTATAGCGGCCGTCCTACTCTTCTTCCGCAACGAGTACCCGGTTTTGTTTGTGGAAGATGAAGTAGTTAGGAACGTGGTTAGAGAGCTCACGCCAATGCTTGCCTTCTGCATTGTCATCAATAATGTTCAACCTGTATTGTCTGGTAATATTTAGTCGACTCCAATATTATACAAGGGTGTACACAATTTTCCAACTCCAAAGTAGATTTGATATGAGTGGAGTGGTTTATGACACTTGACTGAGTTAAATCTAATGTGGCACTATGATAAATTTTGATTACACAGGAGTGGCTGTGGGAGCTGGATGGCAAGCGGTTGTAGCTTATGTGAACATAGCATGCTATTACTTGTTCGGAGTCCCATTTGGTCTATTGTTGGGATTTAAGCTTGAATATGGAGTTATGGTAATGAGACTCACATGCTTTATCTAAAAGTTATAATAATTAAGAAAAGACGAAAGACCTGCGTTTAACTTTTGATGTGGAAACCTATGATATTGATTAGGGAATTTGGTGGGGGATGATGACGGGAACTTTTGTTCAATCGATAGTCTTGACTTGGATGATCTGCAAAACCAATTGGGACAAAGAGGTAAGAAACCAAAACACCTTTAAGACCGAATGAATAACTGAATCTTTGTTCTTAATATATTGAGTGATATATTTGTAGGCTGCAATGGCAGAAGAAAGGATTAGAGAATGGGGAGGAATACCAGAGAAAGAGAGTCTTTTGAGCTAAATTGAGTTTATCATTACTTCGAGTCATGTTAAGGAGATTTTCAATTGCAATTCACATTTTTTTTTGTATCCGAATCTTGTAAGAAAATTTGGTATTATCTTGTTAAGAAAAAAAGCTTTAACCTGTTATGTCGGAAAATTTGGTATTATCTATAAACATTTTGACCTTAATTTTGAGAGTTGGACTCAAATGAAAATTCTTGGAACAGTAATCTCTTTATATGAAGTTGCTGAGTAGAGATTCACTTTAAACCCACGTCCAAATTAATTTAACGAAACAGAGGAGAATTGAGAAACCTTAACGGCAGGCTCGAATATAAGACAATGCATGATCATCATATGATAGATTCAAGTTTAACATCGAGTCTACGGTGGTGATGCATACCTCCGGGATGCTTACGGTGCTTTCCAACACGTCAATGTCCAGCAGATACGTTTCATCTTTGCTTTCTTTTTATTCTTCCTGCTGGTCGTCATTTTTCACCGACTGAAATTAGGGTTTAAAGGGTTTAAAATAAAATTAGCCTCAAGTAATCTCTAGGGTTTTTTGTTTTTTACGCGGCAAGTAATAACGGGCTTATTATTGGGCCTTAAGAAAGCTCTGGCTATTAAGAGCGAGAAGAATCCGGTTCTGATTTCACTCAAACCAACAAAAGCCGAAATTAAATTCTCCTGGATTTGGTTTATGGCCCGACTTTTTCTTTTCTTTCCTTTGAGTAAAACTTTGTTTAATAGGAATAAAAATAAAATAAAAATATCTAATAAGAATAAAAATCGAGCAGAAAATATGTAGTAAATAAATAGGAAAGATATATTGGTAGAAAGTTTTTAATTATTTCTCTAAAAATAGTATAGCCAGCTTTTTTTTTTTTGTAAATAACATCTCATTGTAATTATCTTTTTAACTTTCCACTTTGTAAATTTCATCATATTAATTATATATTAAATTTTCTTACCAATTTTAGTGTTTTGATAATTTTTATAACATAGATAATGACTAACT